GGTGTCGAAGACGCGCTGCACCTGCGGCCCCGAGGCGCTCTCCAGGGGCCCCACCAGCCCCACGCCGGCGTTGTTCACTGCGGGGGGCGGGAGGGGTCAGGGGAACCCCAAAAAATCCCGAAATCCCCCCAAAAATCGGCCCCTGGGGCGCTGAGATACCAAAATCCCAAAAAATCCCATTAAATCCCATTAAATCCCATAAAATCCCTATAAATCCGCCCCAAAACCACTCAAAAATTCACCCTGAAATCCACAGCCCTGAGTTGTTCACTGGGGGGGTCGGGAGGAGTGAGGGGAACCCAAAAAATCCCGAAATCCCCCCCAAAATCGGCCCCTGGGGAGCTGGGATACCCAAACCCCATTAAATCCCAGAAAATCCCATTAAATCGGCCCCCAAACCACCCCAAAATTCACCCTGAAATCCACAGCCCTGAGTCGTTCACTGCGGGGGTCGGGAGGGGTCAGGGGAACCCCAAAAAATCCCGAAATCCCCCCCAAAATCGGCCCCTGGGGAGCTGGGATACCCAAACCCCATTAAATCCCAGAAAATCCCATTAAATCGGCCCCCAAACCACCCCAAAATTCACCCTGAAATCCACAGCCCTGAGTCGTTCACTGCGGGGGTCGGGAGGGGTCAGGGGAACCCCAAAAAATCCCGAAATCCCCCCAAAATCGGCCCCTGGGGCTCTGAGATACCCAAACCCCATTAAATCCCATTAAATCCCATAAATTCTGCACAAAATCCCATAAAATCCACCCCAAAATCCACCCTGAAATCCACAGAACTCCCCAATCCGCCCCAAAACCACTCAAAAATTCACCCTGAAATCCACAGCCCTGAGTTGTTCACTGGGGGGGTCGGGAGGAGTGAGGGGAACCCAAAAAATCCCGAAATCCCCCCCAAAATCGGCCCCTGGGGAGCTGGGATACCCAAACCCCATTAAATCCCAGAAAATCCCATTAAATCGGCCCCCAAACCACCCCAAAATTCACCCTGAAATCCACAGCCCTGAGTCGTTCACTGCGGGGGGCGGGAGGGGTCAGGGGAACCCCAAAAAATCCCGAAATCCCCCCAAAATCGGCCCCTGGGGAGCTGAGATACCAAAATCCCAAAAAAATCCCATTAAATCCCATTAAATCCCATAAATTCTGCACAAAATCCCATAAAATCCACCCCAAAATCCACCCTGAAATCCACAGGACTGAGTTGTTCACTGGGGGGATCGGGAGGGGTCAGGGGAACCCCAAAAAATCCCGAAATCCCCCCAAAATCGGCCCTTGGGGCGCCGAGATACCCAAATCCCAGAAAATCCCAGAAAATCCGCCCCAAAACCACTCAAAAATTCACCCTGAAATCCACAGCCCTGAGTTGTTCACTGGGGGGGTCGGGAGGGGTCAGGGGAACCCCAAAAAATCCCGAAATCCCCCCCAAAATCGGCCCCTGGGGCGCTGAGGTACCCAAACCCCAGAAAATCCCATTAAATCCCATTAAATCCCATTAAATCCCATTAAATCCTATCCCTAAAATGCCCTAAAATTCCCCCAAAACCCCCAAAATTCCCCCTAACCCACATCAAACCACCCCGAACCCCACTAAAATTCCATAAAGTCCCCTAAAATCTCCCAGAAAATTAGAAAATCTGCACAAAATCCCATAAAATCCACCCAAATTCTTCCCAAAATTCACAACCTTGAGTTGTTCACTGGGGGGGGTCGAGGGGGGGGATCAGAGGAACCCCAAAAAAAACGAAATTCCCCCAAAATTCTCCCATCAGAACCTCCTAAGGTGCCCAAATCCAGCCCAAACCCCCCCTAAATCCCCCAAAACCGCCCCAAAATCCCCCAAAACCGACCCCAAATCCCCCAAACCTCCCAAAAAAACCTTAAAACGCCCCCAAACCCCAAATATGCCTCAAAACGCCCCCAAAAAAATCCCCAACTGCGCCCCAAAAAGGCCCCAAACCTCCCCAGCACCCTCAAAATGTCCCTAAAAACCCAAAAATCCTCTCAAAACCCCCCAGACCACCCTGGAACCGCTCCAAAATCCCCCAAAATGGCCCCAAATCCCCCAAAATCGCCCCAAACACACCCCAACCCCCCTAAAATTAAAATCCCAAAAATCTCCTAAAATGCCTTAAAATTCTCCCCAAAAATCCCCTAAAATGCTCCCAGACCCCCCAAAATGGCCCCAAACCCTCCAAAATTGCCCCAAACACACATGAAACCTCCCCAAACCCCCTTAAAATCCCATAAAATTTCCCAGAAAATCCCCTAAAATGCCGTAAAATAAAAAAAATCCCCTAAACATCCCTCAAACCCCCAAAATCGCCCCTAACCCACATCAAACCACCCCGAACCCCCCTAAAATCCCAAAAAATCTCCTAAATAATCCCCTAAAATCCCCTAAAATTCCCCCATACCCCCCAAAATGGCCCCTAACCCACATCAAACCACCCCAAACCCCCCTAAAATCCCATAAAAATCCCCTAAAATCTCCTAAAAAATCCCAGAAAATCCCGAAAAATCCCCCCAAAAATCCCCTGAAATGTCTTAAAATTCCCCCAAATCCCCCAAACCCCCCAAATACACATAAAACCACCCCAAACACCCCTAAAATCCCCAAAAATCTCCTAAATAATCCCTAAAATGCCCCCAAACGCACATCAAACCGCCCCAAACACCCCTAAAATCCCATAAAATCCCCTAAAATCTCCTAAAAATCCCTGAAAATCCCCTAAAATTCCCAAAAAAATCCCCTAAAATGCCCTAAAACCCCAAATCCCCCAAAATTGTCACAAACCCACATTAAACCACTCCAAACCCCCTAAAATCCTTTAAAAATACCCAAAAAATTCTCCTAAAATGCCATAAAATAAAAAAAAAATCCCCTAAAATGCCCCCAAACCCCCAAAATCGCCCCAAACACACATCAAACCTCCCCAAACCCCCTAAAATTCCATAAAATTCCCTAAAATCTCCTAAAAAATCCCCTAAAATCCCCTAAAATTCCCCAAAAAATCCCCAAAAACGCCCCCAAACCCCCCAAAATCGCCCCTAACCCACATCAAACCACCCCAAACCCCCCTCTGGGAACATTTAGGGACCCCCATCCCCTCCCGGGGTGTCCCCTGACCCTCCCGGGGTGTCCCCATCCCCTCCCGGGGTGTCCCCTGACCCTCCCGGGGTGTCCCCTCCTGTCCCTCCCGCCTTGGTGACAATCCCGGGCTGTCCCCCCCGTCCCCTCCCGCTGTTTCCCGCGTCCCCCTCCCGTTTGGCGACACTTGGGGACACCTGGGGACATTCGAGGACCCTCCCATCACCTCCAGGAGTGTCCTCTGACCTCTCGGGGTGTCCCCTGACCCTCCCGTGGTGTCCCCCCCTGTCCCTCCCTCCTTGGCGACAATCCCGGGCTGTCCCCCCCCCCGCCGTTTCCCGTGTCCCCCTCCCTCTTGGCGACACTTGGGGACACCTGGGGACACTTGGGGACACCGGGGGACACCGGGGGGCCCGCGCTCACCCAGGTAGCGCCTCTGGGGGTCCCTGGCGAGCTGCACGGCCACGGCCAGGCCGATGCCCGAGGAGCAGCCGGTGACAAGGACAGTGCGGGCCGGGGGGGCGGCCATGGTGTCACCTCCCCCCCCGGGCAAAGGCGCTTAACGGGATCAGCGCGCGCGGTGGCACCGGGGTCACCGGGGGGGGACACTGTGTCACCAAGGGGGGGACACGGGGTGGCACCCCAGAAACGGCTCCGAGCTCCGGTACCGAGCATCGGAACCGCTCGGACCGGGCTCCGAGCTCCGGTACCGGGCACCGGGGAACCCACCAAGGACCACCCGGAGCGGCTCCGAGTTCCGGTACCGAGCACCGGGACCACCCGGACCGGGCTGCGAGCTCCGAGCTCCGGTACCGGACACCGGGAACCCACCAAGGACCCCCAGAAACGGCTCCGAGCTCCGGTACCGAGCATCGGAACCGCTCGGACCGGGCTCCGAGCGCCGGGACCGGACACCGGGAACCCACCAAGGACCCCCAGAAACGGCTCCGAGCTCCGGTACCGAGCACCGGGAACACCCCGGACCCACCGGAGACCCCCTTGCGCTCACTCCAAGCACCAACACCGAACCCCAGACCCACCGGGGACCCCCGGGCCGGCCGATGCGCTCCGGTACCGAGCACCGGGGACCCCCGGGACTCCCCCCCGGCCCCGCGGCCCGGTCCCGGCAGGAACCGAGCCCGCGGGGGGCTTCAAACCCACCCCCAGCCCAAAAATCATCCCCGGGAGGGGAATTTGGGGACCCCGGAGACCCCCGGCGAGGGGGAACTGGGGGGTCCCGGGCGGATTTCGGGGGTCCTGAGGGTTTTGGGGGGAAAACCACAAACCTCAGGGGGTCCCCAAAATTTCCCCCCCCCGAAAAATTCCCTGGGGGAGGGGAAGACCCCAAAATTGGGGGGGGGGGGGCCCAATCCCGGGGGGGGGGAAAAACCCCAAAATTGGGGGGGGGGGTCCCAAACCCCGGCCCATCCATGGGGGAGGGGGAAGCTCTGGGGGCTTCTCATAAAGGACAGCGCGGGAACCGCTGGGATATTTGCATAACCCCGCCCACGGACTGGAAAAGTAAATTTTATTTGCATAACCACGCCCACGGACTGAAAAAAGTAAATTTTATTTGCATAACCCCGCCCACGGACTGAAAAAGTGAATTTTATTTGCATAACCCCGCCCACAGACTGAAAAAGTAAATTTTATTTGCATGACCACGCCCACACTAATCCAACAATCCCGCGAAACATTTACATAACCACGCCCAAAGCACCCGCAAAGGACTGCGAGCCTCCCGTCTTAACCAATCACAGCGGAGGATTCAAACCGGATTTACATAACCAGGGACTGCGAGAGGGGACTCGGGAGGAGGAGGAGGAGAGGAAGGGGGGGAGGAAGAGGAGGAGGAGGAGGAGCAGGAGGAGGAGCAGGGGGAAGAGGAAGAGGAAGAGGAAGAGGAGGGCCAGAGGAAGAGGAGGGCCAGAGGAAGAGGGGGGACAAAGGAAGAGGAGGGCCAAGGCACGAGGAGGAGCGCGAGGAGGAGGAGCCCCGAGCCCACGCGGTTGCCTCGCTGCGGCCGCGGCTCGCCCGCATCCGCCGGCATCGCCCCCCCGGCAGCCGCAGGTGAGCGGGGAGGGGGAGCTCGCCCCGAAGCCATCGCGGGGGTCTCCGGGAGGGTTTCGGTGCGGGGCAGGGGGTGCGGAGGCAAACGGCACGGTGTCCTTGTGCTTCCCCCGCAGAGCAGGAGCCGAGCATGGAGAGCAGGGAGGACAAATCCCCGCGGCAGAACCCGGCGGCAGAGGCCGTGGGGAGCGGCTGCACGGCGCGGGAAGGCGGCGGGGAGGAAAAGCCCCGGAGATGCCTCAGCAGGAGGGGCTGCAAAGGCAGAGCGCGGGGAGGCGAGGGGGAAAGAGCCGGGCCGGGCCGGGGAGGCGGCCGGAGCTCGGAGCTGGGGGTCCCTGAGCAGCCCCAGGATGGGGAGAAGCCCCACACGTGCTCGCAGTGTGGGAAGAGCTTCAAGTGCAGATCCTATCTGGTTGAGCACGTCAGAATCCACACAGGAGAGAGGCCCTACGAGTGCGACAAATGCAAGAAGAGGTTCCAGACCAGCTCCGCTCTCCTCGTGCACCGGCGCACTCACACCGGGGAGAAGCCCTTCCTCTGCCCCGACTGCGGGAAGGGGTTCAGTCAGAAGTCCAACCTCATCACCCACCGGCGCATCCACACCGGCGAGAAGCCCTACGAGTGCGGGCAGTGCGGGAAGAGCTTCAGGACCAACTGCCAGCTGGTTGCCCACCAGCGGATGCACACGGACGAGCGGCCCTACGAGTGCGGGCAGTGCGGCAAGAGCTTCAGGACAAACGGCCAGCTGGTTCTCCACCGGTGGATCCACACGGGAGAGCGGCCCTACAAGTGCGGGCAGTGCGGGATGAGCTTCGCCCTGCGCTCCCGGCTGATTTTACACCAGAGGAGCCACCCGGGGCATTGGTGGGGGTCCGAGGGGGAGAGACCCTCGCTGGGCCGGAGCTCGGAGCTGGGGGTCCACCAGCAGCTCCAGGAGGGGGGGAATCCCCACAAGTGCTCGGTGTGTGGGAAGAGCTTCAGGTGTAAATCCTCCGCGCGGAGGAAAAGCCCCGGAGATGCCTCAGCAGGAGGGGCTGCAAAGGCAGAGCGCGGGGAGGCGAGGGGGAAAGAGCCGGGCCGGGCCGGGGAGGCGGCCAGAGCTCGGAGCTGGGGGTCCCTGAGCAGCCCCAGGATGGGGAGAAGCCCCACACGTGCTCGCAGTGTGGGAAGAGCTTCAGGTGGAGATCCTCCCTGATCCGCCACTGCAGGATCCACACGGGAGAACGTCCCTACGAGTGCGGGGAGTGCGGGAAGAGCTTCAACACCAGCTCGTACCTGATCGTCCACCAGCGCGTCCACAGCGGGGAGAGACCCTACGAGTGTGGGCTGTGTGGGAAGAGCTTCATGCTGAGCTCTCACCTCATTGTCCACCAGAGGAATCACACGGGAGAGAGGCCCTACGAGTGCGACAAATGCAAGAAGAGGTTTCAGACCAGCTCCACTCTGCTCAGTCACCAGCGCATCCACACCGAGGAGAGGCCCTTCCGCTGCCCCGACTGCGGGAAGGGGTTCAGGGAAAAATCCACCCTGGTCACCCACCGGCGCACCCACACCGGGGAGAGGCCCTACGTGTGCGGGCTGTGCGGGAAGAGCTTCAACACCAGCTCCTACCTGATGGTGCACCAGAGGATGCACAGCGGGGAACGGCCCTACGAGTGCGGGCAGTGCGGGAAGAGCTTCACCCGCAGCTCGCAGCTGATCGTGCACTACCGGAGCCACACCGGGGAACGGCCCTACGAGTGTCCCCGGTGTGGGAAGGGCTTCACCTGTAGCTCCAACCTGATCGTCCACCAGAGGAGCCACGCGGAGGAGAGGCCCTACGAGTGCGATCAGTGCAAGGAGAGGTTTCAGAGCATCGGTGATCTCGTCGTGCACCAGCGTTCTCACACGGAGGAGAAACCCTTTCGCTGTCCTGATTGCGGGCAGGGCTTTGAGCACAACTCCAGCCTCAACGAGCATCAGTGCACCCACACCGGGGAGAGCCCCTGCGAGTGTGGGGAGTGTGGGAAGAGCTCGAGTGAGGGCTCCAGCCTGGTTGTCCACCAGAGGAACCACACTGGGGAGAGGCCCTACGAGTGCGATCAATGCCAGAAGAGGTTTTACACCAGCTCCGCTCTGCTCAGCCACCAGCGCTCTCACGCCGAGGAGAGGCCCTTCGTGTGCCCCGAGTGCGGGCAGGGCTTCAGGCACAACTCGGCGCTCGTCATCCACCAGCGCATCCACACCGGGGAGAGGCCCTACGAGTGTGATCAGTGCTGGAAGAGTTTCCACTCCACGTCCGATCTCCTCCTGCACCAGCGCATCCACACGGACGAGAGGCCCTTCCGCTGCCCCGATTGCGGGGTGGGCTTCAAGCACAACTCCTCCCTCGTCAAGCACCGGCGCACCCACACCGGGGAGAGGCCCTACGAGTGCTGGCAGTGCGGGAAGAGCTTCAGCACGACCTTCAGCCTGATTGTGCACCACAGGATCCACACGGGAGAGCGGCCCTACGAGTGCGGGCAGTGCGGCAAGAGCTTCAGCCAGAGCTCCGGGCTGATCGCCCACCAGAGGATCCACACCGGGGAGCGGCCCTACCGGTGCGGGCAGTGCGGGAAGAGCTTCACGCAGAGCTGTAACTTGACCAAACACCAGATGCAAGAAGAGGTTTCAGACCAGCTCCACTCTGCTCAGTCACCAGCGCATCCACACCGAGGAGAGGCCCTTCCGCTGCCCCGACTGCGGGAAGGGGTTCAGGGAAAAATCCACCCTGGTCACCCACCGGCGCACCCACACCGGGGAGAGGCCCTACGTGTGCGGGCTGTGCGGGAAGAGCTTCAACACCAGCTCCTACCTGATGGTGCACCAGAGGATGCACAGCGGGGAACGGCCCTACGAGTGCGGGCAGTGCGGGAAGAGCTTCACCCGCAGCTCGCAGCTGATCGTGCACTACCGGAGCCACACCGGGGAACGGCCCTACGAGTGTCCCCGGTGTGGGAAGGGCTTCACCTGCAGCTCCAACCTGATCGTCCACCAGAGGAGCCACGCGGAGGAGAGGCCCTACGAGTGCGATCAGTGCAAGGAGAGGTTTCAGAGCATCGGTGATCTCGTCGTGCACCAGCGTTCTCACACGGAGGAGAAACCCTTTCGCTGTCCTGATTGCGGGCAGGGCTTTGAGCACAACTCCAGCCTCAACGAGCATCAGTGCACCCACACCGGGGAGAGCCCCTGCGAGTGTGGGGAGTGTGGGAAGAGCTCGAGTGAGGGCTCCAGCCTGGTTGTCCACCAGAGGAACCACACTGGGGAGAGGCCCTACGAGTGCGATCAATGCCAGAAGAGGTTTTACACCAGCTCCGCTCTGCTCAGCCACCAGCGCTCTCACGCCGAGGAGAGGCCCTTCGTGTGCCCCGAGTGCGGGCAGGGCTTCAGGCACAACTCGGCGCTCGTCATCCACCAGCGCATCCACACCGGGGAGAGGCCCTACGAGTGTGATCAGTGCTGGAAGAGTTTCCACTCCACGTCCGATCTCCTCCTGCACCAGCGCATCCACACGGACGAGAGGCCCTTCCGCTGCCCCGATTGCGGGGTGGGCTTCAAGCACAACTCCTCCCTCGTCAAGCACCGGCGCACCCACACCGGGGAGAGGCCCTACGAGTGCTGGCAGTGCGGGAAGAGCTTCAGCACGACCTTCAGCCTGATTGTGCACCACAGGATCCACACGGGAGAGCGGCCCTACGAGTGCGGGCAGTGCGGCAAGAGCTTCAGCCAGAGCTCCGGGCTGATCGCCCACCAGAGGATCCACACCGGGGAGCGGCCCTACCGGTGCGGGCAGTGCGGGAAGAGCTTCACGCAGAGCTGTAACTTGACCAAACACCAGTGCAGCCAGCACTGCGGGCCGCCCAGGGCGCAGGAAGAGCTCCGGGCGCTGATCCAGCTGCCTCCCCTGTGGGAGGATCCGGGCTGGATGATCCCCAGGGAGCCCCGGTGATCCCTGGTGCTGCTGATCATTCTTGGGAAGACCCTTGCCTGCGCGGGCCCGGCGCTCCCTGAGGCGGCGGCGGCGGCTCCGGCGGCTCCTTTGTTCCCCCCCGCCGGCACCGGGCTCTGGATCGCGTCGGGATCGGGCCGGGATGAGCCCCGGGAAGGGCTCCGGGAAGGGCTCCGGCTCCGGTAAGGCCGGCTAAAGGCGGGTGAGGGCAGGATACGGCGGCCCGCGAGGGTCACGGGCCCTTTGTTCGGCACCGGCGGCGCCCTCAGCGCGGGGCCTTGGGGTTCTCCTCCCCCTCAGAAGATCGGGACACCCTCAGCCCTGTCAAGATCGATCCCCCCTCCGAGGATTCCCTCAGAGGATCCCCCCTCAACCCCCCCGCCATCAGGGGATCTCCTCATAGGATCCTCCCTCAGAGAATCTCCCTCAAATGTTCCCCTCAGAGGATCCATCTGAATGGTTCCCCTCAGAGAATTCCCCCTCAACCCCCCAGGATTGATCCCCCTCAGAGGATCTCCTCATAGGATCCTCCCTCAGAGAATCCCCCTCAAATGTTCCCCTCAGAGGATCCCCTCAAAGGATACTCCCTCATGGGATCCCCCCCTCAGCCCCTCAGGGTCGATCTCAGGATCGATCCCCCCTCAAAGGTTCCCCTCAGAGGATCCCCACAGAGGATCTTCTCTCAGAGGATCCCTCCTCAACCCCCCAGGATCGGTCCCTCCTCAGAGGATCTCCTCAGAGGATCCCCTTGAAAGGTTCCCCTCAGAGGATCCTCCCTCAGCCCCCTCAGGATCCATCCCCCCTCAGAGGGGGGGGATCAGTCACAGGATCCTCCCTCAGAGGATCCCGCCTCACAGGTTCCCCTCAGAGGATCCCCTCATAGAGTCTCCCCTCAGAGGATCCCCCTCAAAGGTTCCCCTCATAGAATCCCCCCTCAGAGGATCCCCTCATGGGATTCCCCCTCAGGATCGATCCCCCCTCATAGGATTCCCTCAGAGCATCCCCCCTCAGCCCTTTCAGAGGATCCCCCCTCATGGGATCCCCTCAGAGGATCCTCCTTCATCCCCCCTCAGGGGATCCCCCCTCAGGATCGATCCCCCCTCAGAGGATCCCCTCAGAGGATCCTCCTTCATGCCCCCTCATGGGATCCCCCCATAGGATTGATTCCCCCTCAGAGGATCCCCCCTCATCAGAACCTCTCTCAGCCCCCTCATGATTGATCATTGATACCCCCTCAGGATCGATCCCCCCTCATGGGATCCCCTCAGAGGATCCTCCTTCATCCCTCCTCATGGGATCCCCCCTCAGCCCCCTCAGGATCGATCCCCCCTCATGGGATCTCCCCTCAGGATCGATCCCCCCTCAGGGGATCCCCCCTCAGGATTGTTCCCCCCTCAGAGGATCCCCCCTCATCAGAACCTCTCTCAGCCCCCTCAGGATTGATCATTGATCCCCCTCATAGGATCCCCCTCAGGATTGATCTCCCTTCATGGGATCCTCCCTCGAGTCTCCCCTCAGAGGATCCCCCTCAAAGGTTCCCCTCATAGAATCCCCCCTCAGAGGATCCCCTCATGGGATTCCCCCTCAGGATCGATCCCCCCTCAGTCCCCTCATGATCGATCCCCCCTCATAGGATTCCCTCAGAGCATCCCCCCTCAGCCCTTTCAGAGGATCCCCCCTCATGGGATCCTCTCAGAGGATCCTCCTTCATCCCCCCCCAGGGGATCCCCCCTCAGGATCGATCCCCCCTCAGAGGATCCCCTCAGAGGATCCTCCTTCATGCCCCCTCATGGGATCCCCCCATAGGATTGATTCCCCCTCAGAGGATCCCCCCTCATCAGAACCTCTCTCAGCCCCCTCAGGATTGATCATTGATCCCCCTCATGGGATCCCCCTCAGGATTGATCTCCCTTCATGGGATCCTCCCTCAACCCCCCAGGATTGTTCCTCCCTCAGAGGATCCCCCCTCATTGGAACCTCCCTTCAGTCCCCTCAGGATTGATCCCCTCAAGGATCCCCTCATGGGATCTCCCCTCAGGATCGATCCCCTCATGGGATCCCCCCTCAGCCCCCTCAGAGGATCCCCTCAGAGAATAATGAAATTCCCTAATTAATTCCTAATTAATTCTCATTTTTTCCCCCCAGCCTGGCGTTAGGAGCTCGTCCCTGCGAGGCATCGAGGACTACCATGCCCTTAGGTGGGAGCTTTCAAAAATTAAATTAAATTAAATTTAAAAGAGAAAGAATGGAGAAAGTGTCAAAGAATTAAGTATGAGTTATTTAATTGAAATGAAACTTTTTTATAAATAAAAAAATAAATTAAAAAGAGGAGGAATGGAAAAAAATTCAAATAATTAAATTTGAATTAATTAAAATGAAATCATTTTTATTAAATGAAAAATGAAGTTAAAAAGAGGAGGAATAGAAAAAAATTCAAATAATTAAATTTGAATTAATTAAAATGAAATCATTTTTATTAAATGAAAAATGAAGTTAAAAAGAGGAGGAATAGAAAAAAATTCAAATAATTAAATTTGAATTAATTAAAATGAAATCATTTTTATTAAATGAAAAATGAAGTTAAAAAGAGGAGGAATAGAAAAAAATTCAAATAATTAAATTTGAATTATTTAATTAAAATGAAATAATTTTTATTAAATGAAATTAAAGAGGAGGAATGGAGAAAATTTCAAAGAATTGAATTTGAATTGTTTAATGAAAATACATAAATTTTATTAAATGAAAAATGAAATGAAAAAGGAGGAATGGAATAATAAATTTAAAAAAAACTAAATTTGAATTATTTAATTAAAACTAAATAATTTAAAATTTTAATTATTTAATTTTTATTTTAATGTTTAATTTAAATTATTTAATTTTTTAAAAAGGAGGAATGGAATAATAAATTAAAAAAATTAAATTTGAATTATTTAATTAAAATTAAATAATTTTAAATTTTAATTATTTGATTTTTATTTTAATGTTTAATTTAAATTATTTAATTATTATTTTAATTTCTCGTGCCTGAGGAGCACAAACTGTGGAGAGTTCCTTGCTCATTCCTTGACCATGGATTGTGAAGGAAGTTTCCCACTTGGTGTTCCCTCAGTTCCAGAATTATTAGTCATTAATTATCAATTATTAATTATTATCAATTATTAATGGTTAATTATTAATTATTCCCAAAATTAACCCCGATCCCCCATTCCAGGTGCCCGTTCCCAGCTCCTGGTGTGAGATGGCCACTCCAGAGCCCCCCCTGGGCAGGACCCCCTGGCTCTCCCTCAGTCCCAGGATCATTAATAATTAATTATTAATCATTTACAATTAATTATTCACACAATTAATCCCAGTTCCTCATTCCAGGTGCCCGTTCCCAGCTCCTGGTGTGAGATGGCCACTCCAGAGCCCTCCCTGGGCGGGACCCCCTGGCTCTCCCTCAGTCCCAGGATCATTAATCATTAATTATTAATCATTTACAATTAATTATTCACACAATTAATCCCAGTTCCTCATTCCAGGTGCCCGTTCCCAGCTCCTGGTGTGAGATGGCCACTCCAGAGCCCCGCCTGTGCGGGACCCCCTGGCTCTCCCTCAGTCCCAGGATCATTAATCATTAATTATCAGTTATTAATTATAATTAATCGTTTATTATTGCCATAATTAATCCCCGTTCCTCATTCCAGGTGCCCGTTCCCAGCTCCTGGTGTGAGATGGCCACTCCAGAGCCCCCCCTGGGCGGGACCCCCCGGCTCTCCCTCAGTCCCAGGATCATTAATCATTGATTATCAATTATTAATTGTTATTAATCATTAATTATTCACACAATTAATCCCAGTTCCTCATTCCAGGTGCCCGTTCCCAGCTCCTGATGTGAGATGGCCACTCCAGAGCCCCCCCTGGGCGGGACCCCCCGGCCTGGCCCCTCCCCCGGGCCCGGCCCCTCCCCGGGGTCGATGCTGGGCCCCTCCCCCGGCCCCTCCCCCGGCTCCGGCCACTCCGGCCACTCCGGCCACGCGCTGCCGGCCCCGGGCTACGCGCCGGACACCATCCACCCCCTGCACAAGGTGAGTCAGCAGCCCCGGAACCCCAAATCCCAGACCTCCAAATCCCAGAATCCCACAGTCCCAGAATCCCACAATTCCAGAATCCCACAGTCCCAGAATCCCACAATTCCAGAACCCCACAGTCCCAGAACCCCACAATTCCAGAATCCCACAGCCCCAGACCCCCACAGTCCCAGAACCCCACAATACCAGAACCCCACAATGCCAGAATCCCGCAGTCCCAGAACCCCACAATTCCAGAACCCCACAGTCCCAGAATCCCACAATTCCAGAACCCCACAATTCCAGAATCCCACAATTCCAGAACCCCACAATTCCAGAATCCCACAATTCCAGAACCCCACAATTCCAGAATCCCACAATTCCAGAACCCCACAATTCCAGAATCCCACAATTCCAGAACCCCACAATTCCAGAATCCCACAATTCCAGAACCCCACAATTCCAGAATCCCACAATTCCAGAACCCCACAATTCCAGAATCCCACAATTCCAGAACCCCACAATTCCAGAATCCCACAATTCCAGAACCCCACAATTCCAGAATCCCACAACTGCAGACCTCAAAATTCCAGAATCCCACAGTCCCAGAATCCCACAATTCCAGACCTCAAAATCCCAGAATCCCACAACTCCAGACCTCAGAATTCCAGAGTCCCACAATCCCAGAATCCCACAATTCCAGAGTCCCACAAATCCAGACCTCAAAATTCCAGAGTCCCACAATTCCAGACCTCAAAATTCCAGAATCCCACAACTCCAGACCTCAGAATTCCAGAATCCCACAGTCCCAGAATCCCACAATTCCAGAGCTCAAAAACTCTCGGGTTTAGGATTGATGGTTTTGGGACCATCCAAGATAAGGAATCCTGGAATTCCAGAATTCCAGACCTCAAAGTTCCAGAATCCCACAATTCCAGACCTCGAAATTCCAGAATCCCACAATTCCAGAATCCCACAATTCCAGACCTCGAAATTCCAGAATCCCACAATTCCAGATCTCAAAATCCCAGAATCCCACAATTCCAGACCTCAAAAATCTTCAGGTTTGGGTGGGGATTGATGGTTTTGGGACCATCCAAGGTGAGGAATCCCAGAATTCCAAAATCCCACAACTCCAGACCTCGAAATCCCAGAATCCCACAATTCCAGACCTCAAACCCCCTAGATTTGGGTGGGATTGATGGTTTTGGGACCATCCATGGTGAGGAATCCCAGAATTCCAAAATCCCACAATTCCAGACCTCGAAATCCCAGAATCCCACAATTCCAGACCTCAAAAATCTTCAGGTTTTGGGTGGGATTGATGGTTTTGGGACCATCCAAGGTGAGGAATCCCAGAATTCCAAAATCCCACAATTCCAGACCTCGAAATCCCAGAATCCCACAATTCCAGATCCCACAATTCCAGACCTCGAAATCCCAGAATCCCACAATTCCAGACCTCAAACCCCCTAGATTTGGGTGGGATTGATGGTTTTGGGAGCCAGAATCCTACAATTCCAGACCTTGAAATTCCAGAATCCCACAATTCCAGACCTCAAAATCCCAGAATGCCAGAATCCTACAATTCCAGACCTTGAAATTCCAGAATCCCACAATTCCAGACCTCAAAATCCCAGAATCCCACAATTCCAGACCTCAAACCCCCTAGATTTGGGTGGGATTGATGGTTTTGGGACCATCCAAGGTGAGGAATCCCAGAATTCCAGACCTGAAAACCCAGGTTTGGTGGGATTGACGGTTTTTACTTTTTTCCACCTCTGTCAACGAAGATTAAACGATCCAATTAAGGAACGACACCTTAATTATTTTAATTTTTAACCTGATAATGAATCACTCGAGGTCCACAGTGTGGATTTTTGTGTCCAATTACAAAACATCACCCAAAGCCACGGAGAAGAAGGAAGAAGGTGAAGAAGAGAAGATGGAGAAGAAGGAGGAGAAGAAGAAAATGAAAAAGGAGAAGGAGTTGAAGGAGAAGATGGAGAAGAAGGAGAGGAAGGAGAAGAAGAAGGGAGGAAGAAGGTGAAGAAGAAAAAGATGGAGAAGAAGGTGGAGAAGAAGATGAAAAAGAAGAAGAAGAAGAAGAAGATGAAGAAGGAGAAGAAAATGGAGAAGAAGAAGAAGAAAATGAAGGAGAAGAAGATGGAGAAGAAAAAGAAGAAGAAGAAGAAAATGGAGAAGAAGGTGAAGAAGAATATGGAAAACAAGAAGGAGAAAATGGAGAAGAAGAAGAAAATGAAGAAGGAGAAGAAGATGGAAAAGAAGAAGAAGAAAATGAAGAAGGAGAAGAAAAAAATTAAGAAGGAGAAGAAGAAAATTAAAAAGGACAAGAAGAAGATGGAGAAGAAGAAGAAAATGAAGGAGAAGATGGAGAAGAAGAAGAAGAAGGAGAAAAAGAAGGTGAAGAAGAAAAAGATGGAGAAGAAGCTGAAGGAGAAGATGAAGAAGAGGAAGGTGGAGAAGAAGAAAAAGATGGTGGAGAAGAGAAGAAGGAGAAGAAGAAGATGGAGAAGAAGAAAAAAATGAAGGAGAAGAAAAAGATGGAGAAGGACAAGAAGAAGATGGAGACGAAGAAGAAGAAAATGAAGAAGAAAGTGGAGAAGAAGAAGAAGAAAATGAAAAGGAAGAAGAAGAAAATGAAAAAGAAGAAGGAGAGAAAGGTGAAGAAGAGGAAGAGAAGGTGGTGAAGGAGAAGGTGTCCAGAAAGATTCTCCTCCAAAAATGCACTGAAAAACCTCAGGAATGGGCAAATCCCTCATCCCACCCCATTAATTAACTCATTAATTAAGAGGTTTTTCCTCCTGGATTTGGGCTTTAACAATTCCTCCCCTAGAATCCATGGGATTTTTAATTTAAAAATCCAAGGAATTGTGCTGTGGGAAGGATTTTTGAGGCCACAGCAGCTGGAATTTGGCATTTCTGGGAATAACAAAACGGATTTTCCATCTCCTTGGGAATTCTGTGGGTTGGGAGCAGAATTTCCTTGAGGAATTCTCTGTTTAAATCTGATTTCCTGGGATTTTTTTCCCCCCAGAGCATCTGGAATTTGGCATTTCTGGGAATAATAAAATTGATTTTCCATCTCCCTGGGAATTCTGTGGGTTGGGAGCAGAATTTCTTTCTGTCCTGGGATCTGTGGGGGGCTAGTCCTTGTTCTGTCCTGGGAAGTGTGGGGAGTTTGTCCCGTTCCATCCTGGGATTTGTGGGGGGCTTGTCCTTGCTCTGTCCTGGGATCTGTGGGGAGTTTGTCCTATTCCATTCTGGGATCTGTGGGGAAATCATTCCTTTCTGTCCTGGGATCTGTGGGGAAATCAT